GTCCTTTGAAAAACAGACAGGTAGTCTTATTGAAACAAAACCCAGTTTTTTCAAGAAATAAGTCAAAAACGAAAAGTTCTGTTTGATTTAATTCTAGAACACAAGTTTCTCTCCAATTTAAAATCTTTTCGAGCTTTCAAGCCCGTAAAACGGAGAAAGAATTTTTCAAGAAATCATTTCAAGAAGGACATCTAATAATTTTTGAGCCTCAAAATCTCTATGATTTTTTTCTTTTTGAAGGATAGATGAAAGTCATTTAGATGACTTTCGAAGATGTATGTCCGATATCTGGAAGTACATGTTGGTAATATTCTCTGTCGTCAAAATTCTATGGATCAGCTTAAGTATTTGAATAGCTTGAGTTTTCGAATCGAACTTAGACTAAGAGATTTTTAGAAAGCTTTCTGTTACGTTCTCTATAAAATTGTCAAAAATCATGAAAAAAATCGATAACTCATAAAGCATTCAAGAATCGACGTTTTGGCTTATTGAAACATACAGAAAACTCTAATGTAGATATTTTTGACGGAGATGAAATCTTTTGAGGTGGCATCTTAGATCGTGAAATGTTCCTTGTTACACAACAGTACATGTACGAAGATGTATCAATATTTTTTTTGCGATTTTTTTATTCAGTGTCACACTAGTGTCAGCATCATCTTTGATAGGAGAATTAGGCCTTGTTATAGAAGACCTACATTTATCAGAAATTACATCAGACTGTTATATGCAAATTAGTAAAACATGGTTTGCTAAATGCATTCTTTCATTCCTACATTATTTTTCAATTTTCTTGCTGAGTTGGCTCGTTGCTTTTCCAGTTAGTTGCAATTCAGCTTTCAGTTATTTATATAGATTCAAAAAGAACTTGCATATATATGGGTGAACAAACAAATTTTAGGCTTGTTACTTCTTTTCAAAATGTTTTATGGCAGTTTTAAAATGTATCTGAAAATAGTTTCTAATTTGATAACTTTTTGAAAGATATTTTATCGGATATGACATTATCTATTTCGAGTTTTATTTCCTTACTCTAATTTTCTTCGAATTATCTGCACACTATTGTTGTTTTATTAGGTTCACTGTTTGTGAGTCTCAAGGCATTCACGGTAGCTTCTGGTATAATTTCAGAAATTTTTTATGCTATTCAGACACAGTGATCACGTCATTTTCGAAAGACCACTGACTCTTTCCGCAACTACCTTTAGGCTTCATCTATTAAACAGACATGGTTTCTATTTGTATCAGTATCTGTAGAAAAAACCCACTGATAAAGATATCAAAATTTAATGTTGTTTTTTTCTTTGCCAGCGATAAATTTCATTTTCGCTCTGTCCAAACTTGCTTTTTAATGAATGTCAATAAAATGGCGAGATAATCTACGCAAGGAATCGGCTTCAATTTTATTTTTAATGACTTTTCATTCTTCTAGGAACGAGTTCAATAAATACACATTTGAAAAAAGAAAACGGTGGATGATATTCAAATAACTTTTGGTACGAACAACAAAAAGAGGTGCAGTTTTGGTGTAGATGTGCAGGTAAGTGTCGGTTTCACTGTGCCACAAGATATGATTAGTATCTACAAACACACTCATCGCCACACACTGAGAAAAGGCATCTCACAGAACTTCAAAATTTTCGTGGTAATTCACTGTATCTCAAAAGGCTTCCGTCGAGTGTCAGTGTAGGTTTGCGTGTGGCGATGCAGAGAAACTCCACATAACACCCCTGCCACAGCCATAGCTACACTCACACCCATAGTCGTACCCAAAGCTATACCCACACTCCCACACTCACATCCACATCCACTCTTCGTTCTAGGCAATATCACATGAACTTCAAAAGATGGCAATATTGACGTAAAGTTCTAGCAAAATATGACATGAATTCAACGGTTTTTCTGTAATATTCATATGATACAAGTGTTATGTTCAGGATAGATATGTACTTAGTAGGCTAATAGAATGCAGAAATTAATGTGTCATATGAACCATGAAATCATAAAGATACTTTAAGATTTCTAACGAAATCTTTTTATAATTGTTTGATAATAAACTATAATTGAGTTGCCTTATTTTGACTGAAGTTCATTTCTTCGAAGAGATAATCTAAAATCAGAAGGGTATGGGTGGATGTGGATGTGGATCGCCTGTTCACCCACATCCACACCAACATCCACCCATGCCCACACCCTGTTTCTCTAAGTTTTTCGGGTCAAACGAATTCATTTTTTTTTTGGTTGACTTCTCGATTATTTTGGACTTTAGTATTTCGAATAGACGTGAAAGCTCGACATTAAAAAGGCCGATAATCAACCAGTTTAGGAATAAGTGAAGTCAGTATGCGATGAATGTTACTTGTCCATAGAACAGTATAAATAAAATAGCAGAAGAAATCGTTTTTTTTCCAACCGAGTTAGCTGTTTAACTGATGGCAGTACTATGTTGGATAGCTTTCGGACGTGCCATTTTTTTCTTACGAGATGTTACCCAATTAAAAAGCCAGGTTTTAGCGAGTTGTGTTTTCTGAAACTCTTCGAAATACTTCGTTGATGGCAAAACAAACAGAACAAAGCCGAGTAACTGTGGTGAGTATGATAGAAAGTAAGTAACACTTAGTGCATGTCGTTGCCATGCTGCTGAGAGTGCATTGCAAGTCAAACCGAATGTCAGAGCACTGTGTGGTATGACACTCAATATAATTATTGCCGGAGTAACATATAATTCTTTATGAATCACAAATTGTCGTTTGAGAAGTTCTACAATCGTTGTTCGATCTCGAGTTGCACGTGAACGACTACGTGTAGCAAGTACAATCAATATAGTAATAGACACAATTTGAATACAAAATGGAATGATGTAGTGAATAAGTACAGCAACACGATTGTATGTTGAAAATCGAGCGAAATTACCGACACAGAAAGTTCTTCCATTTGAAAGATTCGCAACAGTATAAACAATGAGTTCATGAAAATGCATAGTCGCAATAATGATCAATGTAATCAAACTTAAGATAAGGGCTAAACGTGGCTTGTTTAATAAAGTACTGAAAGGAAACAAAACAAAACAGACACGCTCAATAGTGATCCAGCTAGTTAACCAAGATGAGTATCGAGTAAAGATCGAAAGTGTATAGGAAATTATTTTGCATGAAATATTGCTTGATGAACCCAGTGGTATATAAACCATTTTCAACAAAAGTGGAAATAGTGAACATTGATTGATCAATGATAAAATGAGGAGATAATTGCATATACCAAATGTGCGTAATTTCAAACGTTTGAAAGTGATAAAACTAGCATAGTTGGTTATTGTACCAATGATGAACATCAATGCGGTAAGAATCAAGTAGAATAGTTGTACAATGAGACGATTCTCAGCAATAAGTGAATCAAACGAAAAACTCAATGCTTCGGAACTGAACTGACAAAAACGACCTGAATGACATGGTGGACATAGGCAAATGAAATCATTTGTTTGTAATAGGTCTCCTTTGAGACATCGACTACCAACTAAACAATTAAAACATTGATCAAGATAATGATCATAAATAAAACATTCGGCACGATAATGTCCTATATCACAAATGCACAGGTACGAATCGTCTACGAAACAAAATAGATTCGTATGCTTTCGACAGAGAAAATGATATTTGAATGCAGCATTTTCTACAAATAAATACATAAAATTTGGTTCGTTTGTTAAATATCTCATAAAATCATACACAACATAACTTTCATCACGTGGCTACCAATGGGACCGACTGAAAGTGCACACAATACAGGAGCATCTATATTGAAGAGTTTTTAATGTTATTGACTATTTTTACACATTTCACTATGTGTGTCATTGCTTTTTTCTATTTATTACACTCTCAAAAAAGGACTTTTTCGAAACCTAAAAAAGTTCTTTCCACTGATACGAAATCGGAAACTTTTTTTAGGTCTCGTATAGAAAAGGTTTCGACTCAAATTATTTTCAGGTTACTGTAATAAAGGTTTCGTACGAAGAATGGGTGTGAATATGGGTATCTTCTTCTTTAGTATCCAGATCCATACTCACACCTTCTTTCGTTCTACGAAACTATAAAGAACATCGTGAGATCACTACGGAACCCTTCACTATATCAACCAGATGCTGTTGCTTCGTTGAAAAATACGAAATCCTTTTCTATGAGACGCGATTATCGAAGGTTTTCTATAAATCATACTGAATAAAGCGAAATTCCGTAAGAACGAAACGAAAAGTTTTTTTTTTGATATTAGGAAGGTGTGATGGTTTCGTATGCAGAGTGCGAAGCTCGGTGATATTTTTCTAAACTTTGAAATGCTTTAGTATGAGAGATACTAAATTCATCTAATTTTTCTGAACCAAAAACAGATTTAGCACGAAAAGTGCGAAATAGTTTTCATTTTACGAAATCTAAAGTAATTCCGTAGGCAAATACGAAACTTTTAAGACTCAGAAATAAACCTATTTTTTTAGAGTGTGGTGTACTGATATCATCTCGTTGACCACATCACTTCTTTATTATTGATTTCGTCACATACATGGGTGGATATGGATGAAGAGTATATATTCTCACCTATATCCATCCACTCACTCCGCTCTTACCCTCACGAATATGATTCGAGAGAATAATTTACTTGGCTTGTTGAGCAGTGAACTATTCGCCGAGAGTTTCATCAATTTGCTATTCTCTGGAGTCGTTTAACTTCCGTTTAAACAGATTTTCATTTCCTGCGTTAGGTCGTGTCGTGACATCATGTTAACAGCCACAATCAATGTACAAAATTTCTTTTATCTCACTGTCACATTTTCTCAAAAGGATAAGTTTTCTTTCTCTTGTTCTTCTGTACAATAGGAACTCGTAATATGAAGGTGTTCACACTGTAAAGACGCATTTCAGCAAAAGTCAATCTGTTGGACCAGCAGTGTGCCCACAAAGAGGTAGAGATCTGTAGGACACTGCATTTTTGATACTTATAACCTGCCCTCCTCTGTCCTGTGACCGTACGAAGAAATAAAAAAAAGCCATAGTATAACTTCTCGATGTGAATCCTGTTCAAAATGAGTAATATGTATTTAGGACACAACTAACTCTGACAAAATGATTTTTGTTAGAAATCTCCTTTCAACTTGGCTAGGGGGTGGTTGCGAGTATGGGTGAACAGACGATTCACATCCACACCCACAGACACCCAGGTTTATATTTTTAGTGAAAAGTGTCTTTATTCAGACTCCTGACTACAAATACCATCCCTATGATATCGCATGGTTATGACAATCTTAGCCACAAATTATGATAAAATATACAATTTTCTGAATAAGAAGACATTGACATTGACATTGATAACAATTGAGAACCATTCGCTGGATGCTCTCATAGGAAATATTTCAGATCAATTGAATTAGAAACAGAAGAAAAATGTGAAACATATGATAGTGATTTGCGTTTGGATGCAATATTTCGGGAAGAAACAAGAAGATCAGTATGTTTATAATGACAACATCGGTCAATGATTTGATTTGATTCAAAACCTCTTCTCTTATTTTCAAAACCTTCCAAGTATGTAGACAATACTATTTCTATTGCTGATGAACAGGTGGGGACAGGACAGATCAGAGCAGCTTGCTCATACCCTACAGGACTCTACAGAGAGGAATGTTCATTTTATGGAGACGCCATATATAGAAGTTATGCCATACCTTCATTCGTTTCGAACAATGTACGGACATGTACGCATCGATTTTTTTCGCTTATTTGTGTCACACCATCAATTGATCTGACATTCATATGAAGTGAGATCAAATAGATTTCCGTCTGAATATTGCAGTATAACTTAGCTACGATGATGGCAGGTGCTATCGTTTTAGTATGCCAGTATTGTAAAATATGAGGAAGATTGTAGTATGGATGTTGATGAACAAGAATTAGCTTGAGTGAAGAGAAATTGATGTCAAAATATTGTATGACAACTCCATCATGTTCGATGGTTTCATTGATTTTGAGACTAATTGCTTGTCTTTTTATGTCACATCGTTTTCCATGATAATGATTGGTACACAAACATGAGAATTCAGTTGGTTTCAATGTTGGAAAACATGTACCGTTATTTTGACAAGGATTCGAAATGCAACTATCGTGCATCAATTCACATCGATGACCGAAATGGGTTGATGGACAGACGCAGTATGGCAATTTGTTTCCACTTAGTAAACTTCGATAATTTGGTTTACACAATGCATCTCCTGAACAATAATTACTCGTGCACATATGATCGATAATTGAACAATCAATGCCTGTAAAATTATTCTTACAAAGACAGATATATGCAGATTTTTCATTGAGCACTTGATAACATTGTTGATAATGATTACAAGGGTTTTTCAAACAAGGAGTTTTACCATTGATCTCTGTCGATTTAGTTAATCGAAGCACTTTAGCAAGACGAAAGATGGGAAGATAATCGAAATAGATAGGATATTGCCAGACTGCGATAAGTAAAGGTGTTTTATCAACATTTAATTCAAAAGCTTCAATGCGAATCGAATATTGGTGCTCGTGAATGATATTCGAACGATTGAAATATCGCGCTCGCTTTTCTTGTAATAATTTGAATGATCGAGAATAAAGAAAGTAACCAATCTTTTTACTATAAGTGATAGTTGCAGCTACGGGTCGCACATGAAATTCATCAGTGGTTAGTACTTGATTTTTATACAAAAATAGAACAAGTAACTTGATTACTATTGCAGAATCTGTCGATGCTGTGTAGATCGACTGGGATAAGTTGAGATGTAGATAGACGGTCACTCGATCACTATGATATTGACATCTGTCGCCATAATACTGCGGCGGACAAAAGCAAACGATGGAACCATTGTGTATCGGAACGCCGATACCACGATTACACAGATAGGAAATCGAAATAGGTGTTACCTCAGATGATGGAGTAATCGTTGGTATACTGCTGTTCATTGACATAAAGATATCGTTGAGTTTGGTATTATTAGCATCAAGAGGAAACTGTGGTAATTGAAGCTTTTGTTCCGCATTCCTCACATATAGTTCTTTCTGTTTCCGATAAAGTGCATTCAAAGACTTGGGATTCGAAAGATTTCGTCGATCACACATATACTCATCTTCGCCAAATACACAATCGTATTTGCCATCGCATCTTGCTTGTATCTTCTGTGTATGATTTATGCATTGGTAATTTTTTAGTTTCGGACGATAGTTGTAATATCCATATAATGCACATGCAATCGATGCTTCATGTGTGTTTGGACATTCAACAATACAGGCAGACGAATGTGTAATACATGTTTTGCTTGACGTACACAAGAAATCATGTCCGAGCATTCCTGTTTGATCACAATGTTCTTGAACATTTCGCTCATCAATACCTCCTAAACAATCTAGATAACCGTCTCCAATCTGTTTTAGATTGATGCAAAGTCGATTATGTGACATTATATAGAGGCCATCAGACATATTCACTCGAAGACATGGATACTCTGTGCTCAAATTGCATATTGTCGAGAATGCTTGGATTCCATACAAACGTTTAAACTTATTTTGTAGTATAGAGAGATTTTTGAAAATTTTCGTATTATGATCAGATAAATTAGCATTAAAAGCGAATATACTTTCTTCATCGGATGCATCAGCACAATCCCACTCACCATCGAGTACCCATTTTTTGTCGATACATTGTCCTGTACGACATTGCCATTGTTCTTCGAGACATATCCACCATGTTCGACATCTAGTCACATTTTCATCATCCTTTGAGTATAAATCCCAGAATGTATCACAATAAGCACGAAACGGTATTCGTGTCGAACTTAATTGTAAAGTAGAATTATAATTATTATTTGTATTAGAATTCCATGAAATATTAATATACTGACGAATGAATTCACATCCATCTTTTAATTGACTATTACAATCGACTTTTGATAGTATTATGTCTGTTCCCATCCATGATTCATCATAGCTATTGTTACAATTCGAATCGAAATCACCAAGATTATTGACATGTAAACAACTAGACTCTTCAGGTGAACATCGAAAACGATGACGTTGAATATTTTGACAAGTTTCCGAAATATTAATTTCACTTTGATTTTCATCCATTTGATCTTGACAATTGACGATTCCATCACCAATACGATAAGCAGAAATGCATTCCATCGAATACTTGCATATATCGATGAAATTATACGAATGATTATTAAAAGTTCTCGAATCATTGTAACAATACTTATCATAACCATTCACAGGAATAATAGAACTGATCGAACTATTTGAACATAGAAATACTTCGAAATCTCGAAGATCGAATTCAGATAAATATGGTAGTACTGTTGTATATTGATAAATCATATATCCTCGACATTTAATTGTTGCATTAAACATCATTAAATCTGAAAGTTTTTCTTTCCAATTACGTGTAACATTATAGAAATGACGAATATATGGAGCAATAATTCCACCATTTGGATATTGAATATTTACTGAAGGACAGACTTTGTTAAGTGCGTCGATACAACCACTACCGTTGCATGGACATTGTTTCTCTGCTCCTTGTGAGAGAGCACATTTGACTAGATAAACACATTCTTGGTCAACAGTACGATTTTTAGCATTTGTTTCTTCATATCTATTACTTGAATAACATTTTCCATTCGGTAATGTCCATCTTTTAAATCTACCGTATGATTCACATATGTAATATTCACTACGTTTATTCGTACAGTCGATACTGGCTACCTTCTTATTTTGAAAATCAAATCGTTTTTTTATACATTGACCATCACCACATGACCATCGATTAGGAAGACAGATGCGGTCGTCACACTCGAGATTCGCTGCTTGATATGTACAATTCTCATCATCAAATAATTGTTTTTCATCTGTCAAATCCATACAATCATATTCACCATCAAGAAAATATTCATCAGGAATACACATTCCATTCATACATCGATATTCATCATCATCGCATTCATTAAATTCGAGCTTGTCACAATTTTCTTCATCATAACCTGACATACATTGTTGTTTTCCATCGCAAATATCTCGCCAATCGAGACATAAAAGACCATAATCACATATCAATGTTATATAACACAAAATATCACCATACATTTGTATTCTCCATGGAAAAGCTAATTTCATTTTTATTTCCCAATGAATTGTTTCATCGAATGTTGTACCGGCCGGTAAAAAATATTCGCAATTTTTTCCGAATGATTGTGAATGATTGCATTCACATAAATATCTATTATCATCGTTGTCAAATTTGCTTGATTGTTTCATGTAACGTGAATATTCTTCGACCATTTCGATGCTCGATTTCCATTTGTGCAAAATAGTACTGACACTGATATTATTTAATCGTAGCGAGGCGAACGAATGACGTATACCATTGTGATAGCATTTCCATGATATATTATCTCTTGAAAGAGAGATGGGCTCAAGTGGCCGACGGCAGTAGAGCAGATCCATGGAATATACACAATCATAGAATTCAACTGAGAAGCTATCATAAGTATTGTATACATATAGAGTATTTTCGTTCATACGCAAAATGAAAAAACCGATAATGATTCTTGTGAGTATCATATGTCGTAAGTTAATTTATTCTATTCGATAAATGTGTGGATGTGTTTACTACTAGCTACGTATCTGAGCAATCTCATATGGTTTCTTTTTTTTTCAGTATTTAGCATGTACAGATATATGATACAGCGCAATAAATATCGATGATTTTTTGCGCGCACACATACACGTTCATCAACTAAATAATCCGTGATATTTATCGCGACGGTTTTCTTTATTTGAACTACATGTTAAAGCGATCATCTTTCATTGAAGTAATCAATATGTCACTTATTTTATATTCGAAAAAGCAAGAATGTCGTCAATTTTTTTTCTCGAGATAAAGAAATCTTATTCAATGTCTTTTTTGTCGATAGCTAGCAAGAAAATAATTCAATTATTAGAACAATATAGCATACATTTTCAATAACTTTCTCATCAGTTTCGTTCAACGTAACGAAACCAATTAGAGAGGGTGTGAGTGAGTATTTATGTTGTAGACACTACTCATATCCACACCCACACCCACACTCTCTAATTCCATCACATGACAGCAATCAGATTCCTCGAAGAAAATGTTATGTTTGCAGCAATACTGAACGATGTGCGAAGAAATGAAGGGATACCCATGACCAGTCTACCGAATGTGATGTTGGGTTGTGTATTATCGACTTTTTCAAAGATTTCCATATCTTACAGAAGATTTAACATTATCTTGAATAAGTCTATAAACTGGATTAAAAATAAATAGCTAACGCATGGGGAAGCATAAATGGCCGCATTTAGTATTTTGTTTTTTCATCATGTAATATATTTTATTAAAAACAAAATATACCAAAAGATGGAAGTGAATGTGGGGTGTAGGTGGAATCAATAGACTCATTCAAATCCACATTTACACTCACACTCTGTTTCTATTTATGATAAAGAGGTGATTTGAATTTAGAGTTAAACGATAGAAGATTTTAGCGGACTTTATCGCCCACACTCATTAGATTCACAGGAACTCGTCTTTAATACCGATGAATGTGGATCTTCATTTGCATATACAGGTGTTAGTAACATATCTGCACATTTACCGGGAGGTCGATACTTCACATAATGCTCACAAGAATTGAAAATTGTGTTTATACCAATACAGCATGAAAAACAAGAAAGAACATCGGAGAAGAAATGTTGATATGTAGAAATATTCCTCAAACTCTCAGGATAGTAGAAGTCGAGCGTACCGGATCCTTTTCTCCAATCATTTATCCATCTACCATTGTTATCATAACAACATTGTGCACCTGCAGTACTTGTTGTCGACTTGCGACGATAGCATCCTTTTACTCCTGGATGAAATCGACAATTCCAATATCCTGATTTGCGTGCATCGCATGCTGGATCAACGTCAAAGTCAAATTGCTTTTCATCCCATATTATGCTCACTTGACATGGACAGAGAGGAACCTTCTTAATCCATTTTTCTGTATTAGAGTCAGACTGAAGAGCAAACCAAACTGGGCAATAGGCTGTAAACAGTAAATAGGACACAATAAATCCGCATGCAAAGAATTTTATAGCTCTTTTCCATGAGAATGATCTTGCTTTGGACAACAATGCAAAGAGTGACAGAAGAATGGAAATTAATTGTCTACCAAGCTTCAATAAGAATTGAAACTTTTCGTGCGTTTGTAGTTGATCTTCTTTCGTCATTTGAATATTTTTTATGAATAAAAGTTTTCTTCACACTCTAAAAAATCAAGACTCATGAAATGTATAGACAAGACAGTTCATTCGCTTATATAAGACACTTTGAACTAATTCTGATTGGTTGATATATATCTCTAATTTAGACGCTTCAAATGTCAACGGATGAGCAATTTTAGACACAATTTTTTTATCGAAAATATATCTTAACATCTTATCAGTTCTGATAAGATGTTAAGATAAATTTAAAAAAGAAATATTACTTTATCGAAAATATTTTTTTATTGTACACTATTCATATCAACATGCAATCATTTCGAGAATTAGTAACTTGTTGATCAGCCAAAGTATTAAAGAAACTAAGTATCAAAGTTGTTAAAAAAGTTAGCGATGCATAGATGATTGGAATATTAATATAATCTAGAAAACAAAAATAATTATAATAGAATGAGACAAGGCAAAAATCCGAAATAAAATAATTAATATATACGTATATATTTATTTATTGATATTCAGAAAATTGAATTTATTTTTTTAAAATAACTTAAAAAACAGGAATAGTTACAATTTCTAAACTACCTACTAAAACATTTGAAATAACTTCCTTAAATACTTTTACTTTTAATTGTATCATTAACTTCTCAATCATTAAATGTTACTGATCGAATGCATTGAGATGAATAACAAGATTACGATCTTTTTTTTTTACAAAGCTACAAAAAAAATCTAGTCTTTAAAATGCATTGTAATTATGAACATCTTGGTAAATAATTCTAATTACTAAAAAAAAATCAATCTTATTTATCTAACAGAAAAGCATATAGCAGTGAATCAAAAGTAAAGGAATACTCAGGTGTTGCTGTTGTTCGTAAGAATATTAAATAAGAATATGATTAAAAAAAAATTAATTAAATGGCAATTTTTTCTTACCTCTTGATAATTTCACATTATAATTATTAAATCAGTACGTACCAATCAGGATAATAATTAGTTGACGCCTAATTACATGTGTAAATAAACAATGTTACTTGATGTACTAAATTCATTTCTAAATGAAAACTCTACTTGTAAATATAAAAATATTGCAGTATAATATAGACTTACTTATTTTATTAGTTAGAAATATTATAGAATGAAGTTGGAAATAGACGAACATTCAGAAAAACAATCTATAAAAAAATTAACGATTTTAGACATAATATAAAGCTTACTATTCAATCAAGTTAAACTAGAAAACATAATTTGATGCAGATATGTACCGAAAAAATTCGAATAATTTTAGAGAAAAAATAATTAAAAAAAAAGTAATGATCGAAAGTTACCATGTTAACTCGATTTTTTGAAAAAATATTATTTAAAAATATTTTTCATGATATACATTTTAATACATTAACATTCTTCGTGCTTGCGGTTGATTAGTCACATATTCAATTATAATAACGCACAAGACGTATCAATATCTATGAGATCTAAATGTCTAAAAAAAACTCTGTCAATATTTATTCGATTCAAGTGTCTAAAACCAATACGCATTTTACGTCTAAGCTAGACTATAGATGAATTCATCGCGTCTTGTAAGACACATGGTACTTTTAGAGTGCAAAAATAAAAGAAGACACCATTAACATTGGTGGTTACCATGCAACGTCACCCGTCACCTGTAAATTTATAATGATATGATTTGAGTACTTGATGTCACTAACATATTGCAGTCATAAAGATGGGTTATCCATTGAGAACCTTTATAGTTTTGCTTCTAAATGGAACATATATGTCGGCTAGGATGCACGAATTCATGGTCACTTCACTACAATGTGTGTATATGTTTTATCTAGAAATTGGATACAAAGATCTATTACAACTAGTTATAGTAATTGTTTGAACTATGAACGATTAAATTGAACATGAAATGATGTTAGCTTCTTATAGACTGACATTCGATTAGAAGTTTTTGGAAATATAGGATTTTTTTGCGCATTGATCTTAATGAATCTTTCAATTTAAATGGCTCTGCTACTTGTCATTTATTCTCCTAGAGTGGTAGCCAGAACAGTGTAGAGCCGATAGACACTAAAACAGGGTGATGATTTACTTGTTAATAGAAAAAAATAGTCGTTCCAAACACTATTATCCGGATAAACGTTAAAAATGCTTCTTATCAGACGTTAGCAAATTGAAGAGAAATCTATTCATAACTTCCAATCAAGCAAAGGAAATGCAGAAAAGTTTATTGGGCATGTATGAATTTGGTAGAACGAAAAAATGTCGAAAATGAATATATCGGAAATAATGCTAATGTTATTCGAGCGTGCACTATTCATGTATAAGTGCCAGATATGAATGCTGCTACAGATTATTCATGCAATGTTAGTGAAAAGGTGTGCTGAAGCAGCATTAATAGCACTTTCGATTTTTTTGCTTTCTATTTAATGCATGCCATTCATTTGTTGTGATTTCGAAGGTATATTTTTTCTGTAGAGAGAACGTCCAACTGTCGTCTCATTAGAAACGTTTTCAAAAGAGAAATTATAAGAGACATCAGCTATAATTTACTCAGTATTTTATTGATTATGTTATATTGCCTCCATATTTTATTTTTATTTGTGAATATTTTTGTTGTTAAATAGCTGGGTGTGGGTGTGGTGAGTGAGTGGATGTGGAGTATGGGGTGTCGTGAGTGGGTAGGTGTGAGTGTGGATGGGTGTGGGTGTAGTTGTGAGAGTATGAGGGGAGGGGGTGTGCATGTGGATGGATGTGTGGGTGTGAGTATATGGGTGGGGTTTGGGTGGGCATTGGTGTGGGGTGCAGGGTTTTGGAAGAGAGGACTGATGCATCCACACCCTATATAATACATATGTATGACCATTTATCTTGTAAAACTTTGGCTGCAATACTTGCGATGAATCCTTCTATAAATATGCACGCGAGCGATTCAACCTCACGCCAAATCCGATGCTTTGCTGTAGATTCTTCAAAACGAAAAAAAAATGATTCATTAGATAATACTGTACTCGTATAATTCAACACGTCGGTAAACAAGTATCAACAGGGACTGATATTGGAAAACGCGATCAAGGACTTTGTAAAATTCCACAATAATGCTTTTACAAAATTATTTTCCACGGACTGATTTTTTAAAAGTATTATTCTAGGAATCGATGCGCTACACACATTAATAGAATATATACGCCTTTTAGAAAATCCCAAGCGAATGTTTGAAAAACAAAAAGGCAAAACGACCGATACTGGAATAAATATTATCAAAATAATGAAAGCTTTGTTTTATTGAAACAACAGTTATTTTCATGGGATAATCAAGAATAGGATATAGTTTTCTGTCGAAATAACGGATTTTTTTTCCAGAATATATAAAAAACATCTGTTCTATTATGCTTTCATTGATTGTCAATCTCAAATCAAATCAGTTTCTTACCAGGATCGAAATGGTGATCGACAGAATGATGGCAACAACGACAAAACAAACTTCCATTATTTTTCTGTTGAACAACCGAGTTCTTCAATAATGTTTCTTTTTAAAAATAACACCTTTCATTAACATTCAAACAATCAGAACAACAGTTTACCATGATAATAGAGTAAAGTAAAGAAGAAATTAATTTGTTGAATCTTTCTTGAACTATAGTATTTAAGACCGGTAAATTAAAGAAAAAAGTTTCATAATTCTATTTGCATGTTATCGTTCGAAAGTTTTTATAAAGTGTATTGCTCTTTTTTGAATCAAGGAAAACTCACCTAATAGCTCATGGACAAGCCAACAAGAAAAAAGAAGACGATTAAATACTTACACTTGCTACAGACGATGATATCATCTACTGACATCTATATACAATATTTTTCATCGATTTATTCATAAAATAAAAGTTGAACGCTGTTAAATGATTATGTCAAACAAGATACTTATCCTATTAGAGTGTGGATGTGTATATGTGTGGAGCATGAGTGTGGGTGTGAAAGAAGTGAATATCCATACCTACACCTACATCCATCTGCACTCACACTCACACATCCGCATTCACACCCATACTCCATGCTCGCACCCTAATTCTTGAATAAACAGAAGAAAAAATAGCTAATGAAAAAGATTTTTTTTCATAAGTTTTATTTAATTATAATTTTATTAATGTTTTAAAGCAAAAGAAAAGGAATTAATGATAAATATAGAAATAAATGGAGCTAGGAATGGCGAGTTTCAATGAACATCGATATCAATGCGGATTGTCTTTTATTGATTACAAAAAAGATTAAGTGTAATTCAAATGACATTTGCAATTACTGAGCAATAGTTGAAAAAGTGGTAATACGAAGGCGTGTTGCACCTATAGGTACAAGTTTGATGGTTTCATCAGGTTCTGAACTTTGAACTGGTGGCGTTAGTAAAATACTAATGATATTTCGTTTGTCAGCCTTTCAACTAGGAATACATCGGGCTCGAACTTCAATTTCTAGAGGAATATTGGCCTGAGTAAATGGATTGAAATCATTGTTCTGTTTTTCTCTGCGTTGAACAATCTATTGATTTTGATCCGATAAAGGTAAACCGTAATTCCAATTCTATCGCGGTAATGCCTCATATTCAGGCCAATCGTATTGTCCACCAATACGATTCCATTGTTCATTAATATCTAATGGAAATGATAATGAGCCATAGGAAAATGAAACTGAATTCTGATTAGTTAACCAAATCTTCAATTAAATATGCATCGACAAGTTGATTGATAGTATATCACCACTTTTCAATGTTTGATCGACAACAACGAATGAAGCATTTGTTCTTGTTTGTTCATTAAAAATTATTTAATCGTTCAATGTAAGTGTCACTGGTTCTTGAGACCACTGAGAAGTATGAAGATAGAGCTTGAATTGAGTTGGTGTCGATAATTAAAAGTGAAAATCAATGGTTTCACCAAATGAATATTTAGTTTGCTTGCTAATAGTCACTGTGATGCCATTATTTGGTCCAACTAATGCTGTTACTTGACATGGTGCGTACATCGATGCACATAATCTATCATCCCATATTGCTAACCATAATTCTTTGGAATAGTACGGCCATCCAAAATCATAGTTATGTGCACAACATCAATAATGATAAACTCCTGGCATACAGGCAAGCATTGGATGTGGGTGTGGGCGTCGAGTTTTCTTTCACCGACCCACACACCCTTGTTTCTAATCATTTACAGATTGGACCTTCACTCGATGCACTCTGTCTTGTAACTGTCGATTCTGCTCGTGCGAGATTGCATCTAGCTTATTCTTCATCTATGAGCATTTTTTAAGTGAGAGATATTCGACAACATAGTTCAACAATACGTTCCTGATTGACATTATTCGACTTCAATAGAATATCACGCACATTTTCAAAGTATTTGATAACGACTATGAAATCGTGTAAGATGAAAGCGGTCGTTACAATATTGTTCATCAAGGTTATGAGTGTCTCAGCATTGGTTGTTTCACAATTGAACTTTTGGATATTATTTTCTAGGAGATGATAATGTAATGCTGTTTTGTAATTTTTAAGTGAATAATACTTATCATCCAAATATTTGTAAATTACAGTCAATTCAGGATGATTCTTTAGTAATAAGTCATTCATCATAGTACAGGAGTGTTGATTGTCGGTCGTATTTTCAAGTTGATCGATTAAGAATCCACCGAATGTCAACGATACACTAGAATCACCAAAGTTAGACGTGAACTCGTTTATTACCTTTCGATATTCTCAATTTTCTTCGTCAGTCAGAGTCATGTGAATACATATAATGTGATTTTTTTTTGTTATGCTATCAATTTTGAATATCACAGAAGCAGCTTGCATTGTGATCGGTATTGATGAAGCATGTAGAAAATTTTCTGCACTGTGTTGATCAATAGTTGCGAAGAAAACGTTGTTTATTATGCAAGATTTTTGTTCAGTAAAGGATAAAGATGTCAACGATTCAAGTACGATTTCAGAGTTCTACGAGAGTTATATGTTGTATTGATTATGTTTTTGGGTTTTCTATATAAAATTGTTTTACATATAGCCTAAACCAGAACATTTACTGTCGCTTGCTGAGATCACAAAAATGAGGCAATATGACGCAAGTGAAAAATGCTGTATTAAAAAAAAACTACAGTGGTTTGGCGTCAAATTCAGGATGAACATGGTAGCCATTGTTTTCTAAAAGTGGTTTATTCAATTGTTCGTATTCGCTGAGTTACAAGAAAAATGGATGTTTATTCCGACGTGGATAATAATGATCGTAGTCATCGTGGTTTTTGATCAGGTGCTGGTTGTAAAAAAGAAAGAAAGAAAGTAACAACCTCAATTGAAGCTATCAGAAATGAAAGACGAGAAGTTGTTTGCTAGAAAGTTCTTTACGTAATGTAAAGAATATGGATAAATATGAGGAAGCAAATGAAAAAAAGAATATAAAGACGAAGACGATGGCATCAATATAGATGCATTGGATAATTATGATTAAACTTTGATTAAATAGAAACATTTCAAACAATACATCCGAACTTAGTAACTGATAGTCCATAGTGACCTCTAGCAGACACTAAAGTATGACCATAAAATAACAAAAAGACCATTGCAAGAGAAGTGATTAGCTAGACAGACCCTAATCCTGAATATGACGTCATACCACTGTAGTAATTATTGTAATATAAAAAAACATTTTTCAATTGTTCCCATTGATTATAAATATGTGTATAATGTCGTTGATTAGATAGAAAATACACATACACTAAAGTTTGAGCAATAGTATAAACTTGATAAAATTAGACCTTATAGTGAAAACTCTTTCTCTCAAATTATAACTACATAAATTATGTCTTGCACTGATAACACAAGAGAAAGGATGATCGCATGCGTGTATCATCTGAAAACTCCAGGCTTCATTACACAGAGCACGTGTGAATGAAGCGACAGAGCAATTATCAAAAGAGAAAGACAAAAAAAAAACATGCAGCGCAGTACGAAGGAAGAAAACGCACAGACGGCTTTTGACTTGCGAGTCGTGTGTTTTTTTTTTTCATTAATAAGACGACAAAAATGTCCTTGTTGTGCTCTTTTTTTTTCTGTTCTTCACTGTTTTCTCTTTCTTCTTGCTTGCATTGCTTGTTAGTAGACAGAAGCCTTCTTTTTTGCTTCGTCATGCAGGTTATAACTGATATAATTGGTAGTATACGCAAATATAACGTACCTCACACGAAAAAAATAAAATAAACATTGAAATAAAAATATTCTTTCAGATTTTTACTGTAAAATTTCACGTGTACTTCCTGTCAATCAAAAGCTATGGCATCTCTACCAACTCGACAATTAGGCAAGAATGGACCCTACGTATCAGCCATTGGTTTTGGAGCAATGGGTCTCTCGGCATTCTATGGAAATATTAACTCTGATGAAGAACGATTCAAAGTTCTTGACCGAACGATCGAACTTGGCAGTACCTACATTGACAGTGCAGATATCTATGGTGACAGCGAAGAACTGCTTGGAAAATATTTTAAGAAATATCCACATCAACGTAAAAAAGTAAGTCATGTCGTATCATTTGTAAATCAAAGATCGATAGATTTTCGTCACTGTTGTTCTATTCCGAAGAAAACTTTTATGATAGACTTCTTCCAATAAAACACACGCAATCAGAAAGAAGAAACCAACCAAAAATCTCTGCTGTTTTCAGAGTAATACGTTAGGGAAAGAAAATTAGTCGTTCTTCAATAATGGAAACTTGTCGCTACAAGTTTTGTTATTATCACCATTCGGAGAGTTGAATCGATTTTTTTTAACCGAAACTTCTCTTGTAGACAAAATAAGACATTAAAACACGAAAAAGTCGAATGCATTGCAATACATAAAAACGGTACATTCGAAAGCATTCCGAACCAGTCGTTTAAAAGTCCAAGCAGTACGAAACTATTTGAAAAATCGTGTAACAGTTTAAATGCGGTTTTGCACGTTTAAGATGTTTATTTTAAGTACTGTGTTTAAATAAGAAGCGACAATTCTCTATCTCAAACTTTCTGGGGAGATTGTCATGATAACTTCTTAGGTATTCAGGTATCTTATTCATGCTGCATTGCTATCATATAAATTAGATTTTATTATTTGTTAATATATTTCAAACCATATCATGAAAAATTTCTTGTCATCCATTAAATTTTTCGATCTTGAATTCCTTAAGTTTTTATTTCAACTTTTATTATACATTAACAGATAGTAAAATCATGAATTTTAACTTATGTGACAGTAATACAGGAGAAGAATAAAACTGAGCAGCTAAGAATTCATGATGTTTATCTCTGAAGAAATCTTGAAATATAGAACTTGTATTTGTCCCTCACATATATCGCTTAATGTAAAAATTCGAACAATTAACAACGTATGAATTTAAGTCGTATGTGACATTTATGTCGAAGCAGCAGTTTGGGATTAGAATGAGGATTAAAGTAAAAAGATGGAGAATAAAACAACATAAAGAATAAATATATCTAACGGATTAAAAAAAAACCAATCAAAACACATTCTATTTTTAAGAACTCGAGAAAAAGAAAGAAAACAAATATTTAAACATTTTCGAAGTGCGTTGATTCATCGGAATGAATTTTTCTAGGTCAAAAATATTTGCTTATCATGTTGATGTACGAAAATTCAAAAGTTTAGACAATTCGATTATCCGCTAAACTGTATCATCCTAGAATAATGATATCTGATGAAAAATGAAAGAACATTGTTAACAGAGGTTAGACTAATAAAACTTATAAAAAAAAAAAAAGTTCTTTATTATTTTACTCGATGCTAAATGAGAAGATATCAACAGCAAAGTAATCAATATTGACTGAGGGAAGATAAGAAGTTGATTGAATGAAGTCAATCATGAAACAAATGTGATCAGCTTTGATCTTCTTTTGATTAAACACCTATAACCATTTCCTATATTTTGGTAATCATTTCACGATCATAAGAATAAGTCAGATATTTTTACTCTATTGCAAATCAATATTCATATGATTATGAGACTTTGACATTTAGTCGACGGAAGTATATTCAAGATTTTTATCGTTTTTTTTTCTAACATATTCAGAATTTTGAGGGCACGATAACTAGTAAAAATGTAGATAAAATAGATAAAAACGAGTTTATTAAAAACAATCTACTAATTTTAACAAGTTCATACTCCTTGATGTGTTGGAATGCATTCTTCAGAGATCTTGTCCGGTTGGGTAAGGTTCTAACAAATTTTTTCAAGAAATAAGTTCTCATAACGGCTTAGAATTTTCCATCGTATAAAAATTCAACAACTACATTTCTGCAATGTCGATACTTTAACCTAAGTCCTACTTTTCGTTTACAAAATAACAACTTTTCTCCAAAAAAAAATTGTCTGTTTGTAATTTTCAAAGAAGGATTTCTCTAAAAAATGCTTTGAAAAATGTGACACATTTACTGTCGATCTAGATTGACCATGGCTAGAAGAACAAAACTTGTAATAAATTAGAATCACTAAAATCATTGTATTCAATAGAGAATTCTCTCAATACGTGAATCCTGTGGATTATTGTTAATTAGAAAGCCTCTTATATATCACTCGGAACAATCTTTACCCACAATCTTAATACGAATCGCTTCAGGACAAGATCGCTAAAACAGAGTTTGAAGTTGTGCTCATTTCTGTAAATGTATTTTCATCTATGAAGGAGAAACCTTTCTTCATAAAGATTCGAAGGATGCAATCCTTTTTCAGGATTTTTCTTGATATCGATTCTAAACAGAGAGAAAGGAAATCAAACAAACATAACATAAACTTTTGAATATAAATTTCTTTTAATAATCGATAGGTATTTTTGGCAACGAAATTCGCCATTTGTGTTCTTCCTGATGGTACACGTTCCGTTCGAGGTAATGCTCAATATGTTCGAGACGCATGTGCAAAAAGTTTACAACGTCTCGGTTTGGATTCAGTCGATTTGTACTACGTGCATCGCATCGATCAAAATGTTCCGATTGAAGAGACGATGGGGGCATTGAAAGAACTTGTCCAAGCCGGCAAAATCAAATACATTGGTTTGTCCGAATGTTCAAGTGACACACTTCGACGCGCTTATGCTGTTCATCCAATTTCGGCTGTTCAAATTGAATATTCACCATTCAGCCTGGATATTGAGCATGAAGATATTGGTGTTCTGAAAACTTGTCGAGAACTCGGCGTGGCTATCGTTTGTTATTCACCATTAGGTCGTGGTCTTCTTACTGGACAAATCAAAAGTCCTGATGATCTTGAAGAAAATGATTTTCGAAAACTTCTGCCACGATTCTCCAAAGAAAACTTTGATAAAAATCTTCAGTTGGTCGACACATTGACATCATTAGCCAAGAAGAAAGGTTGCACAACTGGCCAATTGACACTTGCTTGGGTCCTTGCTCAAGGTGACGACTTCATTCCAATTCCAGGTACAACTAAAATTAAGAATTTGGAAGAAAATGTTGCAGCTGCACAGATTCAATTGAGCAAGGATGAAATTAATGAAATTCGACAAGCTTGCATGAAAGCGGATATAGCTGGTGAACGCTATCCAAAACAGATGTCTGCAAGTCTCTTTGGTGATTCGGCACCGAAAAAGAACTAGATGGATTAACTTCATTTCATTGATTCAAACCAAACTTTAGAAAATAAAATTAGTGCCCATAAACATTCCGTAAAATATCTTTCGATGAATTATCATTTTCTGACACGATAATTATTTCAAAAATAAAAAGGATTAAAAACTTGGTATAATACTCAAAACTCATTCAAGAGTTTCTTCAAGAGTTTCTGCATATGATTGTCTGTGTTTGCGTTGTACGTCATGAGATATACACATGACAATATTAAGTTTCTCCTTGAGAAAACTTGTGTTTCAAGAATTAAAGAAAATCTTACACATAGATGAAATGGACTCAACTGATCAACATATTTTTCTGATACCAAAATATTCTCGAGTACGGATCTAGTTTGTGATAATTCTTATTTGAAAAAGATATACTGGTAAAAAACCTAGACATTAGCATACAGAATGATGATGATCTTTCAGTAGGATAGTAGATATTATTCAATTGCATTTTTATGGATCTCTAAAAATACTATTGACGCTTGTTTACGTACAATAACACTGTATTTGAATTTTTGCAAGAAAGTTAGATGCGAGTATAGAAAATCATCAGTCACTTTTTTTTAACATCAGTCCTGAGGCAGAATAAATGACACGAAAAACTCTATCGCATTTGTCTCTGATCGATTTCTTCGCAAAAAGAAACAACTATCTATGATAAGATCATAATATCGTACACTACCGCCACCTACAATAGAGTAATACTGATGCAATAGATTACGGTTGGGTGTCCATGACTCTGCAAAAAAGGTCGAACTCGTATACCGTGGAAATATTTCGAAGGAAGGATGCTCGGAAGAAAAAAAAAATTTCCAAGCACTTCTTCAAAACTTCACGATGATATGTTATGGGTTGGAAAAAATACTCTTTCCTATAGTGAAACAGAACGTCTGATTTATAAAAGCTTTCAGAAGTTATGCTTGCACACATACTTATTTTCATTCTGTTTCAGTGATTCATTACCATGAGTGCTACTGCTTTTTCAAAAGATGATGGGAAAAAATCAAAAAGTAATCGTAAAGGATCACGGCAACAATTCCAACAAGTTCAGATCGTAACCCAATCATCATCAACAACTGCTGAACCAACATTTCAGCCAGGCAATTATTACGACGAACATTTTCCGCCACTTGGTGAATCATCACTAAATCAAACTTCCGGCAGCAGTCACCATTCTTTCGAAGTATGTATTTTTGTTCTCTTTTCTGACTTCTATTTATTTTTCTTTTTTGTTTTTTAATCAGAGTACATCATCGTACGCCCTAAAACAAACAAAAACAGGTGAGAAAAATAATTCAAGCCAAATGTAACTTCTAACTTGACTAATCGATTAAACAGGAATGTAAAACTGAATTTATCACTTGAAACAGGCTTCCGACAAAGTCAACTATGTCACATGCTATTAAGGTCATAGAATTTCGGCACGATAATATTACTCAAGTTTTTGACTATTGCGAAGTGCCAAGGAACTTCGGAAAACCATGCAAAATCGATTTTCTGCTTCGTTTTAAAGCTCCTAATCGAAGCGGAATATGAGAGAATACATCCTATTCCGCGATGTTGTACATCGCTGAATCAGTGTCATCAGATTCCGCAATTCCGGAATCATCGAACTAACTCGGCTTATTCGACAACGATCGAGGTCCCTCCATTTCCGGAATTGCATCCGATTCCGGAATTACTTCGCATCCTCACCCTCACCTTGTCTTGTGTAGTTAAGGATAAATATGTGAAACAAACGAGCGATTCTGGAACGGAATTCCGGGAATTGCATCGGAGCGGAATTAGATAGAATTGGACGGAATTCCTGGAATCGGATGGAACTGATTCCGGAATGTGATATTTTGTAGCATAGCGGCGTGCTTACACAATTTTAAAATTTCACTTTTGAATATTCTGAAAAGAATTACTTTTCCTTCGCACAATGTATTTCAATTTCGGTTTGGATGTTGTTCTAAATTTTAAAATACTGAAAATCGAAAGATATCTTAAAATTTTGTACGCCTTCTAAAAAAAAAAGATGCACATTCGTTTCGATATATTTTGTCGAATGCTCAAAACAAATATGTAGCCGAAATTTCTCAAATTGAAGAATATCTACTGCAACCTTTTCCAAAGTTGGAGAACTCATCTATAAACTTCCAAATGCAAGATATAGGTTATCCTACACTTCCTCCCTTGTTTGCATCGCCACTATCGTCGACACAACACAAAGAAAAATGCGACACTGGAACAAAATAGACAAAGAGTCGTCATCTCCCAATTGTCTGTTCAGTGTACGTGTCAACTCATGAGAAACTCACAAAAACGATAATCGAGAAAGAGCATACTTTCTTTTTCTTCGTCCGGATTTTGCGACATATTCGATTTTTTTTTGTTTTTGGAGGTAGTGCATATTTTATGGAAGTTAGATATTTTACAATGTCTATATCTTGTAAAGTACTTTTTAACAAGAATTCTTTTTTGATCATACGACTTTGTTTGATTGGTTTTCTCATAAGCGATATTATGATGTAGTCCATGGTGGTGCATGTGAGAATCAGTCGACACAAGCGGCGAACAACTTCAATGCATCAAACGTATTCCTACAGTCAATTTCACAATCACCAAACATATGTTTAGGAAATTTTATGCTCGGAACCTTCGTTCCTAACATTCCGACAGCATCTATTGAATCGAATGTTATAATTGAAAGTAATCATTTTCATGCATGTGTCGATCTTATATATGGAACTGTTTTTTTTTCTATCAGATTCTTCTTTATTTCAACCCAGATCTGCTTATGAACAAGATATTCTTATAAAGTTGTCCGAAATCATTCTAACCATTCATGGAAGAAGAGAATTTGTGTCACGTGAACGTGTTCAAAATGAATTGTTCAATTATTTTCATGTTAATTGTTGGAAACAGTTAGGTGTTCGTCGTGGTGAACTCAGCCCTCTAGTAATTCTAACTGAACGATTAAAAAAAGTGACTTTCTATATGCAAATATTCGAACAAATTTTCATGCTATGCACATTACACGATCTTGGACCGCTCTTAGCTAAATTTCTCAAAGTTAATACGTACGAAGATGCACATTTGGGCCCTCTCGATGAACATCCAGATATAAAACGAGTATTCGGTTACGAACCAACTCAACGTCATCAACCAATTCCGATCATGACTAGTGGTGATGTTATATCGTTGTTCATCGATTTTCAAGCAAGATTCAAAAGAAACCTTGCATTTGGTGAATTTCTTGATGAGCTTGTCAATAGTTATCGATTGCAAACACGAAAAGAACTTGGTCTCTATTGTAAATCGTTTCCATACTTAATACAGGTATAAACATTGTGAGTCATTGTTATATAATCGATTGAATCATTTTAGGTCTCTAGCTACGTACGACGGGACTTCTTCTGGTATATTAACGAAATGCAAACAAAAGCGGTAGAAGAATTGACTGGTACTATTATAGAACGTTTATCAGAGCTTAAGCAAGAAGTGCGCCGCGAACTTGGATTCTCATCATACAATAAGAAAAAAACTCCTATGGCTGTATTCAATCTTCTAACTTCAATTGTCGAAAAATATCTTTCCTTTATACCTGAACAATCGTTTGTCTATGTCACATTGATTCACCTTCGTCAGAATGAACTACTTCAATGGTTATTGAATATTAGCATCTATTTGGGTACTATGGAAACGCCTGACGTATTCATTACCGAACTTGAAAGAATCTTTTGTCATCAGGACGATCATTTGAGACGACAAATTTTGATGCAATTTTATCAATCGCTACAATACGATCCAAATATAAGTGAGATGGATTACAGACGACTACAAGCTATGATCTACCAGCAACAGAATGCCTTCACTGTATGGCAAAATGTGAGTTGTTTTAATTGAAAAATATCTTTCCATTTGAATTCAAGTTCTTAATTCAACAGAAGCTCCATTTTGAGGTAAAGTCAATCGTTCCACAAAGGACCTACAGCCAATTTCACGAATTAATATTTTTTTTGACAACTTTTTCTTTTTATTCTGGAAAACTCAGATTGACTCACTTATTCGAAGTAGGATTTTCAGACACGATCCATTTCGTTGTGTTAACATCGATAATACAATTCGTTTACGTAGTCACTTGTTTTCTTGTTTACAAGTTTCGAATTTCATCTGCATTTATTCCTTACTTCGAAATCAGATTCAATAGTTACTGCCTATTATTTAAAAAATATTATATCGTAACGTTTCGTCAGCTTTAATTAATGTCTACACCTGAATATCAGCAACTAGGAATCATGAAACACTAAATTCAAGCAGAACAGTACAAAACAATTACCAGTCAATAGTAGTTTTTTTTTTATCAGATTCTTAGATTCTCTATTGATTCTAAAGCTAATTCTAGCTCTACGCCGAATCGATAATAGGCAAACAACGATATAAGCAGTATTCACTTTGGTTTTTGTGAGATTTTCTTCCATTTCATTAAAATCGACAATAAACTCTCTAATGATCCTTAGAAGAGATGATGTAGTCACAAAAAGTCGTTGAAGATACCAGCCGCCAAATGATATCATCATTGAATTTTACACTAAATGAAAGCTCATATAAAACGGAATCTACGAATATAAGTGGTCAGTCATAAGTGAGAGTAAAAAGAATACGTTAGAAGAACCGTGTCTTCTATTATGTCCCTAAATGGAGTTGCTGCTTTCAGCGCAGTCAAGCATCACTTTCATATTCAGCTGTTTTCGAGCTTACACTTTGTCATTAGCAATATTTATTTCGTCTTTTCTTTTGATGGCACCATCACAAAGTAAAACGTGCTCTAATTGTTGAAGGAACTGCATGAATCTTTGAAAAAGAACGATTTTTCAAGTGGAGAGGACCTTCTAATGATCTCACACCCTTTAGACTATACAAAATAGTTCAATCAAATCAAATTCGATTTATTATGAGGTACCATCCAGATCTTTTAGACACAATCAATTATAATTGTATGCAATGTCAGCTGCAGTTGAAGTTTCTATAGAATGATTTGACTTCGGATTTCTTTTTTATTTTAGAAACGATCACAGCCATTCCACATTTCATTTGTCTGAAGGGTAGCGATAAGTCTTTTTGGATTTGTTAGGATGTAAGAAGATATGACGCGTCATTTTGAAAATGAAAATTTTCGCTTTCCAATGAACCACATTCTTGAACGAATAAGCGTTCGAAAAACTCGATTGATTTAATTTCAATTGATAGATAAAATTTTAAATAAGAGATATTTTGTTTGCAACACCTACCTACCAGTGACTCAACAAAATGGTTCAAAGTCACCAATGCTCATCCATTCACTGTACTCTTCTTGATACAGTCGCAATTTTAAAAAAAGCAACTTAAAGAAAGCATCCAAGAATATCGAACAATATCGAGATACTTTGAGAATTGTAGTGCTCATAACCTAACTGTGCTAGTACTCAGCTAAATTGACACATTGATATTCTGACTATGTCGTCGTTCGTTTTGTGTCTACTACTACTGATCAATGACGTTATGTTGTAGGCGCGGTGTTTCGTCGTTAGAAAATAGTATAAATTTATACCAAATTTAGTGAATTTCTGTTTGCTCAGAAGACAATTTAATCTAGATGCATTATCTAACAGTAAAGTTGAACTTTTTTCCTTAATTAATAAAGGAACACAGAATCCATTTTATTATTGATTGAATATCTTTCTTTTCAAAATAAAAATGAATACGATTTTATGTTGAATTGCAGCCTATAACAACAAATGCTTCGTCTTTTCCAACAGTCAATACATCGTTTACAAATTCATTGCTACCAACCAATCGAAGCAGATCAAAGTTATCTGTAACTTTGAAGCAATTCTGTTCGTATCTTTTTGAAATTCTCATCAATTATGAAACAATTCTTACAGTCAAACAGTTCCTGCAAATTGAAAATCATCTGTGTACTAAATATAACGTTGATAACTTTGCTGCGTTCAAATTCGATGAGAACGATACCGATGATACTGATGTCAATTTAGTTTCCTTTCTTGATGCTTATCAAACGTTAATTGACCCGAATAGAGAACTGTCCGTTTACGGATATAATGTGCCCATGACGGATCGGCAAGAATTGTTCGAATTTGTTAACCAACTGATCGAATCGAATAGTGATAGACAATATGTGCCTCCACAAGCCGTGCGGTTTGATATAGATTCTAACGATGAAGAAATTCAAATAAGTGACGATAATCTATCGATATTGGAAAAAGCGGTAATACATAAATTCGGTGGACTACTTGGTTTTCAAACAGGGACTAATATTCTTCGAAAAGTCAAACAATCACATATCGAAAATACATATTCGATTATTCGGTAAGCATAATTCTTGTTTGTAGATACTTGATGCATGAATTGCTTCTAGTTTCGAAGAATCACTTTTGGATTTCAATCATCTCGATCGAATCGATACATGTCCATCGATGTCGATTACAGACGAAAATCAACTTTGTCAATTTATTCTTCAGTGTCCACTCATGATCAATCTGTACACATGGCTACAATGGACTTATTTTTTTGAGCCGAAATATGGCAATTTGAAATCATTTATTAGAAAACATAAGTATTTACTACAACATCTATTATTACTCGAAACATCAACTCATGAACTTCTTCGTCTGCCTATCGATGCTACTCTGAAGAGTTTCGAGAATGAACTTCACTCATTACATGTACGTTCAGCCGTCGGTCATCTATGTACATTGATCACTTGTGAATACGGCCTAACTACTCGAATTCCATTAAATGTCTATCGAACATCCATACGTACATGGTTCATTCGTTTACAATCATTGACTATGAAACAGGGTAATAATGAAGAACCAATGCAATACATACTCGAATTTTTAACCTATCTACCTGTATTTATCGGACAAGCACGACTGATTCAAGAAATCATACTTGGACCACTCGACGATGTATTCTCGAAAAGTGGAGTAAATATAGTTAGTGCACGAACAAGAATATGGAAATTAGCAGATGAAAAACAAAAGAACAAATTAGAAATTTGGGGTCATACACTCAATATCAATGACTGGAAGAATAATAGTAAATGGTCTGGACAGCATTACTCGATCGAAGATCAAGTATCTGTTCTAGAGCCACCAGAGAGTGGATCGAATTCAAGCGAGACTATTGTTCAAGGTAATAGCAATTTTGATACCATACTGTTCAATAAATTGTTTCACGAATCAAATTCATACAAGAGAGAGAGAGAGAGAGAGAGAGAGAAAAGTCAGTTTCTCGATTCTTAAGGATCTTTTAACGTACCAGAAATTCAAATTTTGTACAAAATTTTTCGAATGTGTGGATATGGTTCGATAGAGGTCGGCAGGTTTTTTTTAAAGAAAACCCGTGATTTAAGATTTCATACGCACGACTTTCTCAAAAAAAAATATTTCATTTCAATTTTCTCAATACAAAATCTAGTATCAAAGTCTAATTTTCATAGATGTAAGATAATCCTTTGGATAAGACTATGTCCATTGATGGTTTTGATTCAAACAAATCTTGTCTTGCTCAAAAGATTACCTGCTTGTTTTTTGTTGGTTTCAATACTAGGAAAATAAAACATTCATACTTGATTTTCAATGAAGGACCAGATTGAACCAGTTTTTAGGAAAGGAACTGCATGAAAAATAAGAGAATACAACCTGTTTGCTAAAGCAATTATAAATTTTCATCAATCTTTCAGACAAGAGGTTTGAAGAATTTTCGTATAAAAATTGAATGAATGATATCTAAAATTGTGATTGTTCTACAGATTCTGAAAGTGGATGTGCATTCTTCAAGTACTGTCATTCCCTCATTGAATTCGTATATGCAGAACGCACTACCACCAAGTGATCTACTCTTGTAATCTGCAGGGTGACCACTGTTGAAAAGTCTCATATTACAATACTTCAAATAGTTATTCGTGATGTGTTAAGAATTCGTGTTACTTTCTTGACAGATAATGGTTATATGGCAATAACAACACCAGCTGCACCGCTGATTAAATCCTCAACTCGTCAGTCACATTTGGTTCCAATTGAAATCAATAACAATAACGAAAATGAATCGGCTCGAGTGGCATTCGAACATATTGAATTGATTCGTCGAGGTTTCGGTGTCGGCAGTGGTCTCGATTCTAGCGGCCAATCGATTGTCAACAATCTTCAAGGAATGATCGAACGAAGTTTACAAAAATTATCCAATGATCTCTATTCAGAACAGGGCCATTTTGTTTTAGAACTCATTCAAAATGCTGATGACAATCAATATGCATCTGATCGTTTGCCAACACTTCGTTTTGTTCTATCCGATAAACGAATCTTAGTTTGTAACAATGAAATTGGTTTTCAACCGAATAATGTTGCCGCCATCTGTAATGTAGGTACAACGACCAAAGGCAAACACAAACAAGGCTATGCTGGACATAAAGGTAGATAACTGATTGAAGTGAAAATTGAAAAAGTGAGAATATTTTTAATTTCTAGGTATTGGATTCAAGTCAGTATTTATGGTATCTAATCGTCCTGAGATCCATTCACGTGACTATCATTTTTGTTTTGATACTGTCGATGGTACTCAACAAATTGGATATATTCTTCCGATTTGGTTGGATGAATGTGATGAAATATTACCGGATGCTGACGAATGGACAACATGTATTCGTTTGCCGATTCAACGAGGCAGTCGACTTCAAGAAAATTTTGACAATATTCAAGCAAAACTATTACTCTTTCTCAATCGTTTACGACGAATTGAAATTGTAGGTCAACCGATGAGTACTTCGAACAGTGATCAGAGTCGTATTTTTACCAGATTCGATCATGCCGATGGGAAAATAATTGAACTACAAGAGAAGACAGTAAATGGAACAATTATCAAAGATTTTTGGCTCGTTATCAAGAAAGTTCTCCAAGTGCCCGAAGATGTCAAGGTAATAGAACATCTATAATTTATTTTAAAATTATGCTAAACAATTAACATTTTAGGAGAAACTACGCGAAGTCAAATGTGACGTCCATTCGACGACAATTGCCATTGCCTATCCACTCAGTGGTCTTCAACAGTCGGTTCAAAAACTTCCACTAGCTCAACCCAAGGGGGAAAAAGCTCATTCGGACATTCCCGGCCATTCGGAATGGCCGGGAATGGTTGTGAATGGATGGAAATGGTTGGGAATGGATGGGAATGATTGGGAATGGATGGAAATGGTTGGGAATGGATGGGAATGATTGGGAATAAATGGAAATGGATGGGAATGGATGGGAATGGATGGGAATGGTTGGGAATGGATGCGAATGGATGAGAATGGATGAGAATGATCAGGAGTAATTTGAAATAGATGAAAACGATTTCATACGTTAGCAAGATGGTTATATTGGTGTTAGAAATATTTTAAGTTACAGTATTTGCTGGAAATAATTAAAACATTCTCAAATGCTTCTTAAAATTTGGGGTCTTGAATATCAGTATCTTTTCTTGAGATAAATGAACGCGTGTTATATTGATACGTATTTCAATCGATATTTGTTATCGTGATATTCAGGAAACTGCGTTTTTAGATGGAACTAGTTTAGTAATTATTTTAAAAAAATATGAGAAATGCAAATTCGTCTCAGAAAGATATCCTTTCACGTGATATCTGTTATAACTATGATAAGTAACTATATGATCAGAGTTATCAGAAAAGCAAGTCGCAACACAAAGCAAAATAGATAGATATATAATTTGGTTGTCACATGCATCAAAAGATTCTACTAATGATAGTGAATAATCTCAAAAACACAAACAATTTTTTTAGCAATATGATTACATAAATAGCACCACTTTTGAATATCTATTATCTTTCGCTATGGCTATAGTTACTATTTGAAAAGAAAAAGATTTAAAAAATGTATACAATTGATGACTGATTAACAAGGCGTAGCTTTTAACATACTTTCAACGATGTGAAAACTGCACATACTATAAAGAAAAATAGGAGAAGGCGTACAGTCGTTTTTTATACCATATATGGCATACATTTATATGTTAGATTTGGTAAATACGATTTTATCATTCTCTAAACAGTGTTTTTATTTATATATATGTAGAGAAAATACTATTTTGAATAAATATTTAATAGGCAATAGATTAAAATTATATTTTTAATTAGATAAATTCTTTAGTTTTTCGAACATCGCTCACAACGGAATTATCTGGTTACGTCAGTGATAATTTAATGTCATATATGGAAATTGTTGTTTGAGTATCCAATGCAATTAGTTTTATATTTTTACATAAACAAGTTTGACTACTTAGGGTTTTTAGTTATTTTCATCTATATTCTTTCTATATAAACATTATTTCAGATATGGATAACAATAGTTTTGTTGAAATCAGCAAAATTAAATCTGATGCTTTTTTCGATCTCATAGAAAGCATGTCTAGTGAAATTGAAGTTGAAATTTTAAAAGCGCAAGGAATCAATAATGTTCTTTCTTTATTAAGAGCACAAGATTTGTATTCATTCTTTAAACTTGATTGTGAAGAACTAGAAGATTTAAGAAATCGTGCATGTTTAAAGTTAAAAAATGGTGAATATATGATACGTCCAGCCATAAAAGATAATCTTGATTATTGCATAGCTGTATTAAAAGGTAAATTACATGAACAGTTACCATATCGATCAGAAAATCATGATTCAAGTTCAAATGATTCGAATGAACAACCTAATTGCTTCATCAACACATTCATCAGTAGTCTTAATGATAATATGAATCGCTCTAAATACCGTTATCAATACAATTCAATGATGCGACGGTTTGCGTCTAGTGTGTATGCATTGGGTGGTCGAAATGTTTATCAGTTCTTACGATTGAATATTCCAGGAGCATTTCCATCTATTCCAACATTAGAATCTTATCATAATGAATTTTCTAAACGTATTGAAGAAGGTGAATATCGTTTTGATGAGTTGGTTAGTTATTCAAATAAAATTAATTGCTCGTATATATATATTTCCGAAGATTGTACTAGCGTAATCAGCAAAGTCAATTATGATGTTACAACTAATTCATTTATTGGTTTTTGTCCTGAATTGAAGAATGGTTTACCATCAATTCGTCAGTACCAAACCGATGATTTTTATGAATTAGAAGAATGGTTTCAGACAGTAAAACAATCAACTCTAGTAAATATCCATACTGTTCAACCTATAACACATGAAGCAGCAGCTCCGTTTCTATTATCTTGTTTTGGTACCGATAATCAAATTGTTTCAATATCTATACTTTTTCGTTGGTTGTATATATATGAAAAATGTCATACTAATAATATTAAAGTTGTTGGTTTTTCGAGCGATGCTGATCCTAAATTTGTTAAAGCTATGAGATTAGCAACAGGTTAGATTGATTATAGAAATAATATTCTAATTTTGTAACAAATGCTTTTGATTTTTAAGGCTATTTTTCACAATTACCAAATATAAATATATTGGATAGAGAGGATATTTTCGAAATACAAATTCCAGATTCATGGATATGGTTTTATATGCGCTCAAAACAGTTATTTTTATGTTTTCAAGATAGCATACATTTAGCAACTAAATTGAGAAATAGATTATTATCGAAAACCGCTTCATTGCTTATGGGTACTTATGATGTTTCAGTAAATGACCTTCAAAATCTGATAAATAATTATTCAAAGTTCGAACATAATATGGTTTTATCAGATATATATGTAAAAGACCGACAAAACTATGCCTCTTGTTTAAAAATTTCTTCTACCAACGTTTTATATATGTTAAATCAAAATAAAAGTACATCTGCCACACATTGCTATTTAACAATATTACATTTTGTTACTCTTGCTTATATTGACAAGTCAACAAATATTGTCAGTAGATTATTTTATGCGTGGTCGATAGTCTTTATTTGTAGATTTTGGTTGACGTGGTTAAAATTTAAATTGATAAATCATACAAAAACAACAGGTCGACATGTTCGAATGCCGTCTTTAAAAGAAATACAAAAACATTTTATTACATTTGCTGCATTCCATTCGATTGAATTAAATGCTCATATGCTAACCTTTATTATATTATTAGTTCTAAATAAAAAACTACCTATTGAATCATTAAAAATATTCTTATTTAGCTCACAGCCATGTGAGAATATGTTCCGTAGCGCTAGAGCTTTAACCGGATCATTTTCAACTATGACTAATTTTACCATTCAACAATTTCTTTCTAAAACAAGAAAAATTTCAATATTGAATGAGATTAAATGTTTTGAAGAATCTAGTACTAATTCCAATGCTATTAAATTTCCTACACATCATAAACAAAACCAGAACAATTCATTTTCATCAACATCAACAAGTATGGATGAAATTACAATGGCTAATATCGAGCAAACTATTTATGATGCATATGAACATGCAAAATCATTTATTGAAAAATTAGAAATGTTACCGCTTTTGGTGAAAAATCACGTGTTTGAATTAAATAGTTTATGTGTACATATACGTGATTATTTAAAAAATACGATTTATATAAATGATTATTCTATATTAAATGACGATGATCTTGAATTTGATAGTGATTCAGATGAGGAAATTAATAATGATTTATCAACAACGCATGAAAATAGTGAAAGTGAATGTGAAGATTCAGATAATGAACCTGAAACAAAATCAACGAAAGATAATTATAATGGAATGCGAATTTATTCGTCAGTAGCTGATAAAGATAAAAAGAAATTTTTCAAAATGGAAATTAATGGAAAACAAAAATACATTCACAAGCAAACGGCAGCTTGGTATTTAACTAACAAAAACAATCGGCTGTCGTCAGATCGTACAGTTCGTGTTCAACAAACAAACAAACAGTAATAAAGTTTTTTTGCTTTAATGATTTTCAAATAGAAAGTATTCTATTTCCTTTCTATAACATAACTTCTGTATGTTAGTTGTGTAGGCGACTTAAGTCACATTTTCTATGCTCAGTTTACATTTGTTTTTTTCTCTAATTTTGAGAAAACTATTTGTTTTTTCTCTAATTTTAAAAAACTATTTGTTTTTTTTTCAGAATAAACTTGATGACTTTTTTGAATTTCTTAGGACAACGGAGCTGTAGAAAATTCCTCTATATGCTGAACCATATTTTGGTTCGTTTAGATTCAAAATGATGCTGATGGTTTTCGTCTGAGAGTTCTACTCGCTCAAAAAAATATCGTTTATTCTTTATTCAAAAAAAGTCATCCGTTTTGGTTTTGCATAAGCATTATTAATAAAAAGCCTTGTCAAATATGCCGATTCATAGACACTACTTATAGGACGATATAATGTTTCCTTTGTAATTACTGCTTACAATAGGAGGGAAAGATCTAAAATAATTGAACATTAGGCACTTTAGCTACTAACAGTCACTATCTTTTATTAGATTATAGCATATTTCGATATATAACAGAACCAAAACTGATTTTTTCTCATATACTATACTTGATATAGCATTAACAAGATTCTGTTTAGTATTATCAGCGCAAAGTATCCATAATTTTCAAGTTTTTAGTGTTTTTTCAATAGTGTGAAAAAGCATCCATTACATATGGTTAGACCAGCGTTTTTTGAAAATGACTCAAAATGTCCGAATGAGCTCCATCTGCATCTGAAAATCTCTTATGTGTTTCCAAGTGTCCTTAGTATAATGTTCGACTAAAGTAAATTTATTGATTCTCATATCGATTGATACTGCTACTTGTATACTAAATAATAAATTACGTCAAAATTTATCTAAATTAGTTTAATAACAAAATAATTATTTCAGGAGCAAAACTAGCTTTAAGATGCCAGTACAGTAATCTGTACGAATTCCGAATATATATCAATAATTCAAAATCAATACGAATGGATGGGAATGAATGCGAATGGCTGGGAATGAATGCGAATGGCTGGGAATGGATAGAAATGGCTGGGAATGGATGGGAATGGTTGGGAATGGTTGGGAATGGTTGGGAATGGTTGGGAATGGATGCGAATGAATGCGAATGGATGCGAATGGTTGCGAATAGATGCGAATGGATGAGAATGGATGGGAATGGCCAGGAATAGATGCGAATGGCTGAGAATGTCCGAATGAGATTTTTCCCCCTTGAGCTCAACCTCTCTTCGCATATTTGCCACTTCGTCCGTACGGTTTTCGTTTTATTCTTCAAGCCGATTTCGAAATACCAGTCACACGACAAGAAATTCTTCATGACAATATCTGGAATGAATGGCTCAAATCCGAAATGATTCAACTTCTTCCTTTGGCCTATACACAATTTCAAAGTCTACCCGATCTTCTCACATCATCGTTGCCTCAATTAGAATTCGGCAGTCATTTAACAGCTATTCAAGTTTTAATCTATTTTCTTAAACTTATTCCAACTCGCAATGAACTCGATCCATATTTTAATTCATTCGTTGACAAGAGCATGAAATTACTCATGGGTATTATCAAATTACCCGTATCTCGAGAAGATGAAAATGGTCAAATACATATCGAATGGGTTCAAACCTCACAATGTGTCCTGGTAAAAGATCCATTCATACGAAAGATTCTTCCTCAAGAATTACTATTGTCCCATTTCAATATGTATTATGTACCTGAACAGTTAGCATCCGAATGTAATGAACGAACTCTAATTAAATTAGGCTGTGCTCCATTACAATTTTCTTCCATTATTCGACTTATTAAAGAATTGTACAAGCAACACGAGCAAGAACACTCGACGAAGACATCAAGCATTGAACAAAGTGAGTCAATAGCATTGTAGTTGGTGGAACACGAACTTACTATTAACAAAAAAGAACTTGAGATCTACGAAGTTAGATGAACTATTTTAGTGTATACATGCTGATCCATAAATAGTTTACGATAGAAACTTGAATATTTCCATGCTGCTCGAATTAATAGAACTAATGTTGGTTCTTGGCAATAGAAAATTATTTCAAGTTTTTGAATTTAAACCGAAAAATAAGCTTCGAAAGTCATCTAAACTATTTAGTTAATGAAGATGGACGACTTAATGGATACTTCATAATAAATAGTCCACGTTTGTTTTCGTTTTTTGAGGCATTTGAGGATAGTTTTAATATGAGATTCGAGTCCATTTAATAGACAATTTATTGCTCTACAAAAACGGTTTATTTCATTTTTCTAGCAAGTTTTTCATGTTGACGCAAAGTTTAAAATGTTAACAGTTGCTCAATCGTCCAATTGCGATGAAAAGAAAAATTAAAGAAATTATAGATACTTTTTAATAACCATTTTATTGAAATTTCCAATGTGCTACAAAATTTTACATAATTTGATGTACTTCTTAAGATTTCAGAATAATCGTTCTTTTCTTAAATTTGAAACAATATGAATATTTTGTCTGTTCAAATTAACATTTAGATCATATTGATCAGAATAAAATTCTGTAATAGTAAAATATATAAATGATACGCTTGCCTTCGAAAACCAGTATCTTTGCTGTAATACATATAAAAATAGCATCATGTATTAGTTCGATACTTTTTTCTCCTGAAAAACAGTTTTAAATACGTTGTAAACACCATAAAAGTATAAAGCACAAAATTTTCTATTTGTCGATGTAAGAATCTTCATTTTTATCGTAGGATTTGATGAACACAAATTACTAGATATCAGTAGAAAATAGAACTTGGCAAGTGCAAAATTAAGAAGATGTTAATGTTTTCAATATTGTGTCAAAAAGCCACTGGTAAGATAGATGAATTATACAGTAATTCAAAAATACAAAATACTTCAATATAGAATTCTATTTATGTCATCCGAAAAATTCTGAGAACTTTTATACAATACCAGAAATGCAAACACATACAAGATATTATTCGTTTTTTTTTTATATTGAGAGTAACGGAATGTATTCATAGCAACTTTTTCAGTGAGATGAATCCTGGAACAGGTGATATATTGCAGCACAAATCGATTTTATTAGCTTCTATTTGTAAGATGGATTGATTTCTTCATTTTTGAAAAGTTCGAATTCTCTCTGAGAAAAATTTTTAACTAAGTGCCTGTACTTTTTTCTTTTGAAACGATTGTATAAATAATTTGTATTTTAGTTGCGCAGTGGTTGCTCTGTATCGACTATGTTCTTCAACAACAACAACAAGAAAGTGAACAGTCACGCGGTGGTCAATATGAAAGAGTTGAGACGACGACAATAACCGAATTAAAACAACTGAAAATTATTCCATTAAGTGGTCATTCGCGATTAGTATCCATGGATGAATATAATGAAGAAGTGATACTCTTTCCATTATCGAAAAAGATCCAATATAAGAAACCGTTCAAGATCGTTCTGGAAGATTTACCTAGACTTGACGAACGACTACTTGAATATATTGAAGATAAATTTCCACGACGGTATGAGTCAATCGAATGTCTACTTAAAAAACTCGGTGAGTATTAAAGATTTCGCCTTGTGATTTCTTGTTACACTTTAAAAAAAAATTATCGGTACAGGTATGATCGATAAGCCTAAGATTAAGGATATCTATCGACTACACATACGACCCACACTTTTGAATTCGACTCGTTGGTCAATGAAATCTGATTCTGTTCTCGTTGCTTTTCTCTTGTGTATTTATACGCATCTCGATCAATTTGAAAATGAACTCGATCAATTGCAAAAGTACATGGTTGTCAAAACGCATAATGGTCAATTTGTTCGTCTTGATACGCCAGGTATTATTATTCATTTAACATCTACATATGGATGTACAAGATCACTCGAATCATTAGTATCACCGAAACATGAATTTACATTTATCTCAAATGACTATATTAATAACTATCGTACCGAATTATTTCGTACGAACGATGAAATAAACAATTTTGCTAGATTTCTTGGACAACTCAATATTACCGAATTTCTTCAAGTTAACATAAGTGATACACGTAAGTATTTGATATATTAGATTATTTCTATTATAAGTGTTATTTATTTAGATTTTATCAATGTTTCTCAACTTCAAAGTACTCAATGGGCTTATTTAATTCCAGAATTAAATGAAATGATTCGTCAACCATTCATAGTAGAAGATTGCTGTTGTAATGAATTTAACACACTTGTAGCACCATCCAACAATACTCCTGCTGATATTAATTTGTGCACAAAATTATTGATCTATTTGGATCGCTATCATGCAGCGTTTTCCAGATACTACACGGCATCAGTAATTTCTCTTGATCAATTAAAATCTGGACGAAGACGATCGGAAAAAAGTATTCCATCAACATTTTGTTTAGCTTTGAGATAATATGCTTGGATACCGATTGAAGGTAGTAAATTAGCCAAATCAGATGATGTATATTGTTTACATCCAAAGAGTGAAACATTATTCTTTCATCGCTATGTACCACATTTGGATCAAGCTAAGTTATCATTGAACAATCGAGACTTTATATCGAGTATACTTGGACTTAAAGAACATGTACTACCTATGACCATGTTTGAAATATTTATGAAATGGTCATGTGGTTTTGATCATGATACATTAGAGACATTATTGAGAGAAACAAATCATTTGGACATGTGAGTAAAACAATAGTACTAAAATTTGTCAAAGTTTATGTCGAAGATCTTAACAGAGGAAAAAGATTTATCTTTTGTCCTGTCGTGTGTTGAAGAGAATTAACTCTAAAAAGTAGGTATCTTGCGAAACCTAAAACAAGGTTTCTCTCGCGAACATAAATTCGGAACGTTCAAATTTTATCTTTATTAGAGTGTCGATGGATAAGAATGTTGTAGTAAAACTCTAAATGTATTGTAAAAAAGTTCATTTCTTTTCAAGGACGCATGATTTTAAAGTCGTAACGACTGTGACACTAAAACCGGTCATTATAATGAAATATTGACTTGTAGAAATTGTGAGCATTAATATGTAAAAGTTAACAGTATCTGAGTTTCGGTCAATGCTGTCCATAAAATGGATGAAGGAACAATTGAATTGTTACCTTGTCAAAGTCGTACTTATAAAATAAGCCGAGTTCTGAGTACTGATAGGAAATTAAAACCTGTTACACAAATCTTTTGATTCTGTATAAAACTAAAAAGGCAAGCTCTTATTTCCTATTCACTCTCGAAACTAAAAGAAGGTGCTGTAGAAGCTAGAAAAAATTTTAGTTAATAATGTGTCCGAATCTCGAAAAAATCTAGTTTGCTTCACAACAATAGCAATGACAACGTTTCTAACAGATGTTACTTTGTTCATCCAGGGGTCGCATGTATGAGTGGCGCAGCAAATAAAACTCCATGACAGGAACTGTAGTTCAGAGTAAAGAAATTTGTATGATACTGAGGGAGAAATGACGCATTTCTAAAATCTTTATCAGTCTTCGTTTGAGATAATATGATTTTGGAAATATACAATCAACATAACATCCAGAATATATATTTCTGAAACTTCTATTTTCGAAAATATGCACACACACGCTGCTGAATTTTACCAATACCGTTAAATCTGTCCTTTTGATTACATCGTAATTGGCATACCTTATCGCTTTCAGAATACCTTGTACTCTACCAGTAACATTTCGTCAATCGTGTTACGATACTATTGATAATATTCGTCGTGTCTATCGTTTTCTTATCGCTGACAATGACATTTTCAATCTTCTACGTCGTTTTCACTTTTGGCCACTCGTATTTGTACCACGAAACAATAACAGAGGTGATTTCTTATTTCCTCATCAAGTCTATTGGCATGATTCAACATTACTTCTATCGAATCTGGATAACATTACTTTGCCGAATTCAGATCGTCGTATTTCTATTCAACGATATTATGGTAATGATGTTAAATTACAAAAATTCTTTCTTGAAATACTTCAAATCACATTTTAACCTACTATCGATGATTATCTTCCATTGTTGATACAGATATCAAATATAAATGATATCTGGCGACTTATTGAAGTGATCATACGATTAGCATTTCAGCAAAATCGACAGTGAGAAGTTAAAGGTAATAATCGTACACTCATTGTATTCATAATTATCAAAAATAAAATAATTCATTCTATATAGAAAGATGTCTCAATTTGCCATTTATTCCTTGTATGGGTACGAAGAATAAGAGAGTCACATATATAGATCGACCATTCTATCCACACGATCCTGATATTGCCAATTTCTTGGCAGATACATTACCGATTGTTCAATTACCCGGTAAATAGAATTGTGAATGTACTAGTATTTTGTAAATATCTTTCGTTTTTCTTAGATTGGACTCTGTCTCCTGAATTGAAGAACAATTTCTGTTTGCTTTTCGAGATTCAAACTCTAGCAGATGTTATCCAGTTACAAGTTCATGTTGATAATGAACAACTATCAATAGATTTATTCAATTTCTATTTTCATTCGATTGAACTCATTCAAAATTTTCTTCTTACGAAATCGTTCGTAACTGAAGAACGATCGAAATATTTGGCATCTATGTTTGCTCGTATGCATTTCGTCTGTGTTGATCAGATTCAACTTTCATATCATTATCAAGTTGATACCTTACGAAAAGAAATGTGTGACACTTACATCGATGAACAAGCAGGACGGTTCTACATTTTGAAAAAGTTTGAAAAATCTGAAATGCGCTACATCGAGACTATGGCTAAATATCTTGTTCAAGATCGAGTGGCCCTAGCCGAATTGACATCCTTTATGATGGAACTATTACGAATCTATCAGAATGAAGGCGAACAAGGTTTAATACAACGACGCGATCGTATCACTATTCAAGAGCATGACTACAGATGGATACTCCCGAATGTGTATTTGACTCTATTACCATCATCATCATTACCAACCGAAGAAATTTCTTTGAATGACGAACCAATCGACATATCGGCTGAGATGATTGAACAATTAATAAATGAATCTTTGCCCGAACGAAAGCTTCGATCTCGAATAACAACGGAAAAAGACGAGGAGAAGAATCCGACTTGTTTTCCTGCTAAGGCTAACACTACTGAGCCGACAGAAGTTTCAAATACGAAACCTCATCCAGCAGAACAAACACAATCAACAGTTTCAAATTCTAATCATTCATCATCGTCCGGTTCGATCTCACAAATATCAAGAAAATCAGATAACAGCCATACAATACAAGGTGAGTCCAATTTGAAAGAAGATTATTACTTTTCATCTTACCCTTCTTTCCGAATAGATAACGAGATCGTCAAGTCGACCAAAGAATCGGCCCCTACTGTTCGATTCCATGCGGCTACTATTAATCGTTCAAATTCTACTGTGGTTGAAGTAGCCACATTTGAACGTATTCGAATTTCAACTCTAACTGGTTTAAATCTCTATCCATTGCCACCATCATCAATTACAATTAATCCGACTGTTAACGTAGTCGATAATAGTACCGGTCGTCAAGGTGAAGAGCTCGTTTTTCGTTTTCTGCAATGGAAACATCCAAATAAACGTGTCGAATGGATGAATGCTAAACAAGAATCAGGTCTTCCATATGATATTCAAATTAGAACAAATAATAAGATTGAACTGATCGAAGTGAAAACAACACGGATCCATGATCAACATACATTTCAAATATCAATCGGCGAAATTGAATGTCTACTTGAAAATCCCATGAATTATTATATTTATCGAGTGTACTATTCCGACGATCCTGACTCGACAAAAATTACAATACTCAGTCAAGTGAAATGTCATTTAGAACAGAAACAACTTGCACTTTGTATGACCATTATGCAACGAGCCGATGAACAATAAAAATCAGCTGAAATATTTTGTTTTGTTCTCAGCTGTAAAATTTTCACAAATAATTCAGATGAAATAAAACATGCTACGAATTCAATATATTTCGAGAATTGATTTCAAGTTGTTCGAATGCTATGCACTTCGGTCATTATCTAAAAGGTCTTGCTGATGTTTTTTTGTTCCAATAAAAGTTTGTGTCAAGTAGAAATTCTGAGGCTAGATTTCTGAGTTGATTAGTAATTAAGTCAAACAAAAGAAACACTGTTCTTGCGTACTTTTGAGTGTGGCTGTAAGTGAATAGAAGATCATACCTACACTCACACCGGCGGCAGTGGCAGCATTTTTTTTTGAGGACATTGAAAAACTGTATGGATTTGATAGAATTTTATTGTTTACAAATGAAACACCCTGAGATTGAATGAATCTGATGGACTAGTGCCAATATTGCTGGTCCAATACAGTCGCAGCAGTGAAATTCGAAACATTTTTTTGAAAATCATCGCGGTAGCGACAGGTTTTCAGCTGCGATAGACATCTCTGGCAGGTATCTCAAGTTGTGATTCACCAAAAAAAAAACTGTTCTCTATGAACTTCAACAAATAATGTTCTTGACTTATAAAAGCTCTCAAGGTTAAAACTTCCCGATGAAAAACAACTTTTCAGGAAAATCTTCTCAGAAAAGTTATTCTTCTATCTAAAATATCCTTGCACAAAAACATACATGGTGGTGAATCTTATCGTTTGTTGCAAATAAAATGATTTCATAAATAGCGACTGGAATAAAACCTTCCACAATAAGGTCAAAATAAAAAATAGTAAAATAACGGCTGCAAGGACTATATGATTATTTGGTATGGTGCGAGAAGTTTAAAAACATGCACCATGAAAGTGAGATTTTGTTGAATTATACATAATTCGATAAAATTGATGTCATTGATTCTAAATATCACATTTATAATTTAATGATCCTATCTTGATTAAGAAATCTTTAAAACATAATTTTTTCATGAAAATCATGAAAAAAGCAAGTTGCAAAAATTGCATCCTTATTCTGCTAATGTTTTCGGTGGACTGCTTTATTCTGATTCAACATAAAGAGACAAAAATAATCATGAAAATCCAAATAATCAATGCAATCAATGAAGAAGTGTTTTCTAAACCACTTCGATTTGTCATTTCATTAGAAGAGAGAATGAATGAGAATATAAAATCTATACTCAATCAAACTTATTTTCATAGGATCGGTATTTTTAAGAAAAAATTCGTATTGAAAGATGGGAGTATAATTAATTTGCTCGTTTTATACATAATACTCCTGGCCTCCATCGAATCATAAAATAATCTCGTTCATATGATGCTTCCGCTCGGTAAGTGACTTGAAGAATATTACGAGGATGTGAATGCGATCTCCTGACCCTGATCTATTCATATCCATACTCATTCTCTGTTTCTTAAATAGATACGAATACAATTTTTCATTCCTGTTCAAGCAAAAAGTAAAAATAAAGTATTACTTTGTCAATATTCGAAAATTTGAATCAAAACCATTAATTCTATAATTTTTTTTTGTATTTAATATGATCATCATAAATCTATAAATTATTCGAGGGACTTCATCATGCTCACTATTAACTTCTACTTTCGTCTAAATAAAATGTCTGTAAAAAGAAAGAAGTTATCAAATCAATTAATATTACTTCTTTAAAATCTAATGATTCTTCAAGTTTATTCTTCTTTTTAGTTTGAATTATATCTTTTTGTCTTTGTTAATCAGTCCCGTAATATAATTGAATAAGTGATTTTAAATTTCAATCATCAAATAAATGAATTTTATCAGTTTTTGTTATTCTTGGAACCATAATAATCTAAATTTTATTTATTGAAAATTATTTTTCTTTTCTACGTTTGTGCGTATTTCATCAAGAATAAAAATTCAACTGTATTATTAGAATGATTGACAAGTTCAGTGAAAATCTTGTGAAAAATATCTATATAAAAAAGTTTAAAAAAAAAACAAATAGATCTTCAATATAAATACCGTGTTCTTTGATTAAATTCCTAATTGTATCAACATGTTAATAAACTAATGGAAATAAAAACAATTCTAAGATGTGGGTGTGGCCTACATCCACACTCCATTTATACTTGAACGTCTGTTATGAATGACTCATTACCGTGATTTACCGTTGGTTTTGCTGAGAAAACGATGACATAAGTTATCATTCAAAATAAAATATGTATATTTGTCTTCTTACTTTATAAAATGAATTTGTCAGTGGAACAGCATTTACTTCTGCCTTTGGGTGACGTACTTTTCGTCTTAAGTCATTTTGAACTCTGAACATGCGTCCGGGTGTTCAGAATAGAATACCTTTTGTTATATCTGATGTAGCGATCGGAGATCGTAATGAACAAGATCGGATGTTCGGAATTTATGTCCAATGGTATTTTTACACAAAAAAGATCGGAAGAATGGAATGACACTGGCAGTAAGTTCGTAAAAGAATTTACTAGGAGATCGTAACGGATATAATGGCTTTTTTTGCTGTTTTTATAGACAAGAATGACTGTAAGACAAGCATGTCGCTTCATAATCTCTCAAAGGGGAGCAAATTTCAACATAATTACGAACATCCTGCCGTTTTCATTCTGAACACTCTGTCTTTTGTCATTACGAACTTTCAGACTTTCTCATTCCGATCTTCAGTCAAAATTTCGTTGTTCAACCATTAACAATAGGTGGGCAGAGTTCGTCACGAACTCCTTGACAAATTTCATTCCGAACATCCTGTTTTTGTTATATTTCATTGACTTTTGCTATTGAGAACTTCATTTCAAACGTCCTGTCTCTTTTCTTATGTCCGAAGATTGTAACAGACTATTTCAACTGGAGTTCGTAATTGAAAAGTGAGACGAAAAGTCACTTCCCCCTACTTGTATAAAATATGAAGCACTTTATATGTAATATAAAAAGATACATTTTTCGTTTATTGAAATCATAATATGGCAGATCGTTTTATGTAAGATTAAAACATATGAAAATTTTATTATATTAGACAATATTTGTCAATAGAATGTATATCACATGTTTTATTTTTATTATCTCATATATGAACCTTGATAACATTTTAGAGATTTGCCTACTCTCTGAATCATGTTATAACCAAATGACTCACACATGCCACTCTATTATTGCTCGCAATTTTACATTATATTTCGCAAGTACAAAAATATGTTTTTATTAAAGAAAATAAATATATATGGTTGTTTTTTTCTTTATGATTAGTTGTCGCCCTTGTGATTCTTTCTTTCTTTCGTTCTGTTGGTTTTTTCCGTAACTTGTTCTTTTCAAACACAAAAGTATATAACTTTTCTCATATATATATATATACTTTCAACATCGTAAAACTTTAAGCATATTTCATTCTCTTCAATTTAGCAAAAATTGGCTATGACTGCTGAAGATGAAGATGAAGTGCAAACGGAGTGGTATACAACTCTTTGTGGTGATTGTACATATACACTGCCTGTACGATATCAAGAATTAGCACCTATTGGCCAAGGTGGTTACGGAGCTGTGATGTAAGTTGAAAAATTAATTACATTTTATTTTTCTAATTATTGAATTTTATTCTTTAGTCGTGCTAAAGATACAGTATGTTTTATTGTGAGATATGATTAAATAAATATGAATATATTGTAATTTAGAAAACAGATCAACTAGTAGCTATTAAAAGATTGTTACGACCTTTTCAAACTGTAATACATGCAAAACGAACTTATCGAGAACTTAAACTACTTATCTATCTCAACCATCCTGATGCAGATGTATGTAAAAACAAAATATTCTTTGCATTGCTATGAATTTATTTCCATTATTTTTTTATTGCAGGTTATACAATTATATGACGTATTTACACCTGAGAAAAAACTGAACGATTTTAAAACATTGTATGTTGTAAAAATACTATTGTTTAATGAAGATATTGACATTTTCTTTTGTTTTACAGATATTTTGTCTTTAATTTTGTTGATTATACTTTACAGAATGTTATAAAATCTCATCTGCCATTGGAAGAAAATTTTATTAGACAAACTATCTGTTCTATTCTTCGTGGTTTGAAGGTATCATAAGTTCTGCCACAATATCTGGCTAATGCAATCTTGTTTTTTTGTTTTTCTTTCTTATCTAGTTTATTCATTCAGCTGGCATTATCCATCGTGTAAGTAAAAGAAAAATTATTTTCATATACTAAACATTGTTGATTATTTTGTTAAAATAGGATCTGAAGCCAGAAAATATTGGAATAGATAAAGAGGGCAATGTATCAGTAAGTATTGAATACAAGTAAAAGTTAAAATATTTAAGTTTCACTTATAATCACTAATAAATCGAAATAAGTATCGGAAGTACTAATAAGTAAATGTTTTATTATTTTCATCAATTACCCTATTGGTTGGATAGATTGAAAGATCGTGATCTCACATACAGGGAAAAGCATCTTGAAGAGTGACAAGAGAAAGCTTTATTGAAGGTAGACAATTGTTTACTATTATTGTTCAGTTTCTTGGTAACTTCCTAATTAGGATTTGATATATTAATACAAAAAGAAAAACAAAGCTTCTGTTATTCAAGAACGACTATTCAATTCTTTTATGTAATGCACATGGAGTGTTGCCTATCGGCAAAAATTCAGATAAGAAAAAAAGCTTATCTTCCCTAAATATACTTTTTTTATTGCGCTGCGAAACACAAATATTTATGTAGATTGACATGAATTTGCTCTTCTCGGACTGTGGATAAATAGTTCATAGTTCATTTCTCGACAATGAAAAATCAGAAAATACGGACTCTAATACGAGAATATAATTGTACTAGCGTGAGCCCGTACATACTGCACGACTGTTTTCTCTGCTTTAATGTATGAACTCAAAGCTCTGACCTTTCACTCAGTAGGAGCATAAAGGCACTCGACGTTATGTATATAGATAGCGCTACGACCTCATACTCT